TCAAATATTGTTCAATACATATAGCTTACTTACATATGTTCTTTTTTAAAGAATTATTTTATTTAACTTTATTTATTTATTCATTTATTTTATTTTGACCAGATGGACAGAGTGAGAGAAAGAGAGACAGAGAGAGAGAGAAAAAAAGTAAAAAAGAAAGCCACAGGACCAGCAGTTGGCATAATGGCTAAGTTGCTGGACTCCTATGTAGTCGACCACAGTTTGAGTCCCAGACTTGGTGGCTTAAACTCATGCCAGGCATGTGTGTGTGCATGCCCAAGATCCTGAGAGGAGAATGGAAAAGGGATTGCATCATGACAATCCTCCCTGGGGGGTGATTTCTCGCTTTCTATCTCTCCATCTCCCTCTGTCTTTCTGGAGAGTGCACGTGCCCTATAGCAAAAACCTTTCCAACAAAAAAAAAAAAAAAAAAAAAGAAAGAAAAGAAGAGAGAGAAAAGTGTAGAAAATAACATGAGTAGTGGTCTGGAGTTTTCAAGTTTTCTTGCTGACTTGGGCACATAGGGAACAGCTGGCTCAAGCCAGGATCCCCAAGTGGGCATTTCTGCTAAGGGAAGCCTCCTAGTGGAAATGTAGCAGACAGCCCACTGCACCTAGATGTGGGGACATGCAGCTACCTGATCCCACCATGTGTAGGTGAAGGAGAAGTTTGTCCTTCTTAGGTCCAGAGAGGGGCTGTTGGCACCATCCCTGGAGAAGGACCTGGAGCTTTTCAGAGGTCTGGGAAGAGTCCAGTGGATGGTGGGTGCCCTGTCCAATGGCTGTCTCTTACTCCCTATACCAGCCCAGCTGATACTTACCCCTTCTGCCAGCTACTTCCCACAAAGCAATCAGGATGGTGAACCCAATCCAGTCCCCAGAATAAGAGGGTCTAGAGGGACAGGCAACACCCATCATGGCACATTAAGGAAGTAGTTACTAATTGGTTAATAGATTGGGGCAGAATGCAGTGTTGTGTCCCCAGGAATAACATCTTGGGAAGGGACCTAGATGCCATATGTCTGGAACTGTGCATAGGAGGGGGCTGAACAAATCACCTGGAGTTCAGTGTACCCGGACCCCAGCCAGCCTGGGGGGACATGGGACCAAGCCCATACCCTGGTCAATGCAGATCTTGAGAGTGGGGAACAGCAGAGGTGCTGAATGGTCAGTGGCCATGAAGGGGTGAGCATGAGGGCACCCTAGTGTTGGGGCTTTCTGAAGACCTTGATGTCAGCCTGCATATGCCCAAGTTTCTGGAGCAGTAGCTGCACCTAGAACTGTGGGGTGGGCAGTAGACTCTGGTATGAGAAGGGTGGAGTCCCTAAGTGCCCAGTCGATGGTCATTTGCCAGTTTGTAAATATGGTCCCCCAAACCACAAGTCAGGGGGCAGAAGCTGTTGATACTAATCACACTTTTTTTTTTATAGTTTTTGCCATGGGGTGTGTGCACTCATGAGAGAGAGAGAGAGAGAGAGAGAGAGAGAGAGAGAGAGAGAAGAGAGAGAGAGAGAGAAAGACATATAGAGAAAGACAGTAATGGAAAATGAGAAATCACCCCCAGGGATTATAGCCATGCCACAATCCCGTCTTTATTCTCCTGGGATTTGGGGCATACACACATACATTCCCAGCAGGATGTTTTAAAAATTTATTTACAGAGAACCAGCAGTTAGCGTAATGGCTATGTCGCTGGACTCCCACGTATTTGACCACTGTTTGCATCCCGGACACAGTGGCTTAAAACTCACGGCAGACGCGTGTGTGTGCATGCCCAAGATCCTGAGAGGAGAATAGAGGAGAAGGGAATGCGGCGTGACCATCACCCCTGGGGGATTTCTCGCTTTCTGTCTTTCTGTCTCTCTCTGTCTGTCTGGCGAACGCACGCACCCTATAGTGAAAAAACCT